GATTTCATTGTATTCGGACAAAACCTACAGTCGCCAGACATTATATACATTATTGGCCCTGTATAAAATATGGCCAACTCCCAATCGTCCGTCAGATGCAAATGCAGACAATATCAGTTTCTAGGAGCCTGTGGCTGCGAGGACAGCTCCGCGAGCTTCGTTAGGATGGCAATAAACCTCTTGCTAATTCCCCATGAAGTAAGCCCGGCAAGTGTCTCGCAGCCAACCTTCAGAATGCGCTCAGGACCATGGGGAGCACATATGTCCCCGACACCTGTAACGTTTCCTCTCATAACATGACCCTCGCGAACAAAGAGCTGGACTAGCTCGTCGTCACATGGCCGGTCTAGGTGGATAAATGTCGGTTCGCGGACTGGATGATGCCGCGGCCCATATCTTGAGTTGGGATCTTCGGCTGTTTGGAAATGACATGAGCCATAAGCCCATAAAGTGAGTATTGAAAGATATACAGCGACCGGCTCGTGAAACGCATTCGTCGAATAACGTCTTACGTGCCACAAAGTTGTGCCTGCATGTATGATCGCAAGACGAGCTTTGTACTGGTCGTGTTTGACCCAGCGTAATATGTAATGCCACTCAAGCGCTTGCTGATGATCGCTCCAGCGAATCTTTCCCATTGCTAAAGAGGTCGCCAGAGAACGAATTTCGCGGAATGGGGCGAGGAGGACAATTCGGGCAGCATGGAGGTGTAGCACCGTAGGATGCTCAAGTCCTGCTGCTTTGGCGATCGTGCTGTTCGCCGTCCAATGCAAAATATCCAAGCAATCACACGCGCTGTTGCGCCATTTCGAGTACGAAGGGATGCCTGGCAGCCAGACAGACCCCGACGGGATAGCGGTATCACGGGACTGCTTCTTTGCGGTCGGATTCCAGAAGGATAAGGGACGCCGAAAATAGTCACCGACCTCCCACATTCGATGATAGAGAGCGTGAACGAGTAGGATGTGGCTGAATTCTCCGATCTCTGGGACGAGCTTCTTCTCGATATAGATTGTGAGCACTGCGTTGTAAAGAGAGATATCTCGCAAACCTAGAACGGATGTCTTAGTTGAGAATTTTCTCTTGCCCCGTCCGAACTTACCAGAAGTCCTCTCAAGAACATCCCGCCAGGCTTCGGCCGAGTGAGCATTCCAGAGATTCTCATGAGATGGTAATGGACACTGCCCGTCGTCCAACGACAGCAAAGGCTGGTTATCAAAGTAGTATGCAAGGGAGCAATCAAGAAGCTAGCGCTTGAATGTCAGATCGAGATATGACGGAGCATAGTCCATGGTAAGTCTTTCAAAGGAGCATACCCATATCAGATACCCGGTCCGTCTTCGTATTTCATCTTCAACCCAGTCATGCCACTTTTGTCCTAGCGGAAGGTCACCATACTGACCCGTTGGCTTGCTTGCGGCGCAGAGCAATCTCTCCTGAATGGTGAAATTGACAAGGTCGCCGAAGGCATTGAGTGTGGACACTTTACTTTGCTCATTACCGCTACTGTGTAGCAACCCGATGCAGCTGAGAGTCATAGCCTGAATCAGCCACAGCGGTGTTTGTCCTAAACGACATTTCTCTTTCTGAACCGCCATTCTCGGTCAGCGACGAGCAGTCTGCAAGCGAAAACGGAATGTCTTACCTCAATATTGATAGCCCGCCGAAGGAATTCATCAAACGCCGTAGTGCATTCATCAAGAGGGGTGAGACCAGAGAAATGGCAGCCGACTGCTGATATAGCCAGTGTCACAAGCCAATGACAGCTGTTTGGATTGAATGTAGGGGAATGGAACAAGGGATACACGGGCTGAAATGAGTCGAAGTAAAGGTATACGAAGCTTGAAAGAGCATCCGAGCTCGGAAAGTTACCGGTCTCGAATTTGGGATAGAGAGGGTTATCCGTGCGGCATAATTGAAGGAATGAGTGGTAGATTTTATCATAGGTCGGAGCTTCGATCCGACGATTCAAGGTCGCTTCCTCACCCGGAAGGAAGTCTGCGCTGGCCTCCTGAATCAGTGGAAACGAGAATTGATGTAGCGTATCATGCTGATGCATTGGTGACAGGATCTCAATAGGTTCTGCAGATGACCTAGACCATGAAGTTCTGTTCCGTCGGTACTTTGGTAGTCGAGCTCCAGCGCCGTCCACGTAGAAATCTCCCGACCTCTTGGTGGCGTTTGAGGGCTCTGAATGTAATGAACCTTCCCCAATGCTGCGAGAAAATCGGCCGGGACTCTCCGCATCTGTGCCCACAGACACGTGCCCGGAAGGGCTGTGGGAATGATTTTCCCGCACAGAGGGACTCATTTGCCGCAAAGTGGTGACAGGAGGTAGCCATGCTGTTCGACTCACCGGCTCATCCAGGATACCCAGCTGGTCCGAGAGCGGAGGAATCCTCGAGAGAGACTGACCACTTGTTGTATCGGGGAACATATCATTAGGCAACCAATTCAAGGTAGAAAGCATTGATTGATCTAAAAATGGCGGGTCAAAACCGAGCTGAATTTGCTGGCCTCCCACTCCCGCCAATTCCAGATTGAGATTGGGTGTGGCTGCCACTGGTGGCTGGATGGCTCTTGACCGATGATCAAGTTGCGAGGCCGATTGTTGTGGAAATGTCTGAACGCCAGCTGCTGGCAGTTGTGAATACAAATGCTGCGAGCTCAACCCAGCATATTCAGGCAACGATACACGTGTGTCGTGCGTAGGACCACCACTATCTGACAAGAGCATTTGCGAGTTCAAATCACCCGTCTCGTTTTCCGGCGGACCATTCTGATGCTCTGATGATTCCCCGGGAGGAGGCCCGTGCGGTTTCTCTGCAGGCATATCCTTCGATGATGTATCCAGGCGATGTGAGCCGGTGAGGTCTAGCTGGAATTCGGTAATCTGAAATCTCGGAGGCTCATTTCTTAATTGCTCTCTGATATCCGCTCCGTGGACATCAACACCTGGTGTTGAAGAAGGGGACTCATGCTGAGTAGCCTGTCCATAAATCGTACTGTTTCCATCAGAAGACATATTCTGGGCCGCTTCCTTCCGCGTTTTGGCTTTGGAGCGTCGTTCCGTTGGATATTGGCATTCTAGAGACCTGTTCTCACACCGCACGCATGGGGAACCACCACTGCACCTTACTCTGGCTACTGCGCATTTGTAACAGGCTCTGAAGGTCTTGACAGTAATGCGATGCATCCGATCCTTTCCCCCTTCGGGTCCCAAGGTATGATGACTTAGTTCATGACGATGGAGTGTGTCACTTGCGACAGCAGTCAGTTTTGGAATACCATTATTATTCGACCTGGTGAACATTTTGATACCGAGGTCGCAGCTGCCATAGGGTTGCCACGAGAAGGGAAGAGGGGGAAAAGAGAGAAGAAGGCCACATACGTTCTCGAGAAATGACGCCCACACTGCGCACATTCGAAAGGTTTCTCCTTAGTGTGGCTTCGAAAATGACGCTTCAGATGCTCGGGTCTTCGAAAAGTACTATGGCAAATCGAGCACTTGGTTTGACCAGGGGCGGAACCAAGCCGAACTTCATGAGCACGATCGATGCTTGTATCGTCTGCTCCCGTTTCGGCCTCATGGCGGTTCGCAAGTTCTACCATGTCCCGGGTTAATCCTTGACCGGTTTACCACCTATTTGGCCTCTCTGTCGCATATATAACAAAGAACAAGTGCATACCTCGGCCAGCGTCGCTCTTTTCCGGGGTCATTGCGCCTCATGGACGATTTATTAAGTTGAAAATCAGCAGAATTTGGCATTGCAGCTGCGAGCATGGGGATCATAGGGTCCTTGAAGGAAAGGAAATAGCTTCACGGAAGTTCTGAAAGCGCCAACATTTTCATGATCATAGTAAGTGGTGAGCAAGAGCTCTCTGGAGTCAAGAGCTGTTATTGATGGTGGTGGAGCAAAAAAGGTAAATTGCAGAGGCAGACTGCCCTCAGACAGTCAGCTTGAGAAGGCGTGAGTAGCTTAGCAAAGGGTCGTAGCAGCTGAGTGAGGCGAAAAGCTAGAGAGCGGGGAAACTTTCAGGAGAAACTAACTCAAGACCAGGAGACGAGAGAAGAGCAATGCGAACCGTGATTCCTTCTGTCGTCCCATATGAACCCCAGGTCGAATTCCCCGCACTTTCAGTTAGTCTCTCGGTTAATTAAACGGATGAATACTGAGAAGGCTAAAAGACTTTAAACCCCTAAGCTTAAGAAAACATGGCACATTTCAGGCGGATGGCCATTGGAATCCGAGAGAGTACTGGAAAAGTCACTTACCTAGGCATATGCCGAAGGTTAAACAAGCATGCGCGTTACAACAAGAGTGCTGTGTATGGGGAGAGAATCATAATCATGTGTTAGAAGTTCTCCGAAAAATTACTGGGTACGGGCTGTCGAGTGGGTAAGGTACGGATATTCTACCTATTATTCACGCGATGCTGTGAACTGACATCCATTTCTGGAGGCATTCTATATTAGATTTTAGAATGATATCATCAGTCAACACATGGCACAATCACTAGGAAAGATACCAGAGGTAGACTGCTGTTGTAGATTGATAAGGTAGTTCTTGACATTGATTAAACATACCAACGACCATTTTCTGTGCCGAGGCTGAAGCGAAGGTCAAACTGGAGTACTCCCCACATAGCATGGCCAAATTCACGTACTTCGCTTTTTCAATCCCAGAAGCAGTACCCTTCTACCTCATGGCTGGAGTGGCATTTCGAAAAGTCAGTCTGGTTGACACTGGATGGGTTCTGCCAGGCATGGCGGAGTCTGACGCACGGGCTCTGTAGAACTCTTAGGTCGGCGCTCGGCTTCCCCGATCAACGAATGTAAATATATTTCCATCTGACGCCAATTTATTGATTTGGCCCCTACAACTTGTTCAATTCGAGGTGAAAAGCTGTAGTAGGTATCTTTTCAGAGCCCAGTCAATGGAGAACAGGAACCCTTTAGGCCATTATCCCTAGAAGGCAAGGCGACGCAGGTCTTGTGCATGGAGGGTCCGACTATCCATTCGGGTCGTGGTCATATCAGCGGAACTGTGACATCTCCGCAAGAAGCTACTGCTACTTTCAATGCAAGCTCTCCTCAGGCTGTTTCGCAGAGAATGGACAACAAATCCCGGGGAAACGCTGATGCAAATCATCATGCTACCGATACGGATCGTCCACCAGATGACACATCCGCCGGACTCCCCGAACCTGGGTCCGTCAAAAGCAAAATTGGACTGTTTACCGCGCAGAGTACGCAAAAAGCATCGGAGGGGGAGCGTGATAAATCTGCGACTTCCAGGCCGCGGCCTTCCCAGCAGGCTGCTGCACAACTCGCTATGCAGAAACCACCGGTGCCATTGAACAAACCTGTAATCTTGGGAAGAATGAAGTCAACGCCAGAACTGAAGCAGACAGAGCCTCAGGGAAACGACGATATAGCTGGCCCTGATTTTCCAATGTCGAAGCCCTTTCGCAACATGACGGCAGGCGCCGACACATTTGAAAAGCTTCTCCAAGACAACAGGGAACTACTGGTCAGAAACCCACCAATTCCTCATCGAAAGCCTGCAACGCAGCTAGCTACTTCACCCAGGCCCCCAGATATCGCTCCAGTGTCTGCTACAAAACCCCGTCCTACTCCACCTCTGCCTCGGAAAGGAGGTGCAAAACCGGTCTCGAAAAGCCCTAGCCCCGATGAACAGAAGATTTATGGACAACAGAGCCACGAACCACTTTCAAATTCCGACGTGGATCTTAGAGGTGCTGATGAGGCGAGACCGAAGCTCCCACCGCGGCCAGACGCTTCACCTATGGCACATATTTCCCCCACTGATCCTCGCGTTCTGCTGGAAGCGCACGAACATCGCAAGCGTCCTTTGACTCCTAGCTCTCCATTGTTGGCCAGATCTTCACAGAACAACGGTAGTAGCCCTGACCTCATCGACCACTCCTCTGGTATAGACGAGGAAGGACTGTCGGATGCGATAGTTGCATCATCACTGGCCCCAAGGAAAGCACCATCCGCAAAAAAAGTTCCTCCACCCCCTCCACCCCAACGGCAACTCAGGACCCATTCGCTTCGGCCGCCGACTAGAGCTGGTGAAGAGGAATCCGACAATCACAAGCACAGAAAGCACATTATACCCAGACACCCACACAAACATCACGAGGGCGATCGAAAACGATGGCAAAGCGAGGTAACCGACAACGAGAGGAAGAGGTACGAGGGCGTTTGGGCTGCAAACAAGGGACTGCTGATACCTATCAGCGATTCGAAGGAACGATCTTCGCATGAGGAAACGTTCGGCGAAGGTTATCCTCCAAGTGCATCTGAGATGGTCCTGAACATTGTTGTTCGCGACATTTGGTCCCGAAGCCGCTTGCCGTCGAGCATTCTGGAGCAGATCTGGAATCTTGTTGATCGGCAGAAGATTGGACTATTGACGAGAGAAGAGTTTGTAGTCGGCATGTGGTTGATAGACCAACAGCTTAAAGGCCACAAGCTTCCAGTGAAGGTGCCGGACAGCGTCTGGGACAGCGTGAGTGGCGTACCCGGCATCAGAATACCCAAGGTGCCTCCCCGATAGCGCAAAAGATCCATACACCCACGGTTCGGCGCCAAACACCGCAGTACTAGAGACAATGGCCAAGATTGCTGGGCTCTCCGCTAGCTTCATGTATATGCCCGAGCAGCTCCGGAAACTCTGGTATCGAACCTAGCGTAGAACCAAGTATTTGGAATATGCCATCCCTGCATCCACACTGGGGCCCACTTAAAAGCGGACTATTCATAGCACCATGCACAAAGCATGGAGCGTGATGTTGTGACCAAGGCTTTTAGTTATAACGGTCTTGCCGCATAGTCAAAAGACATTAAACATGTATATAGCAGGTGTATCTAGACTTGTAACAGCTACCAATTCTCGGTTTCCACCTTCAGCCCAGCAGTGCAGATCTGCGTCACCCTCATTGAGATCTTGGGAAGTGCAAATGCGCACGAGTGTGTTAGATTTTTTGGAGCGAGAGCGATTGAGATCTTTTCTGTAAACAATATCTGCCGCGTTGCAAGGTTCATAAAGCCCTCGGGATAAAAGCAAACATCACGTGACTATATACTTCAGATTTTGCTCTAATCAGAAAAGTAAAGGATTGCGCTCGACGGCCTGTGCTCCATCATCGTAAAATCCATCTCTTACCACCGCTTCTTATTTATCACAATCATCTTCGGGGACAGGGAACCTGATGAGTCTATTTCCTTATCCAGAGCACCCGAGCATCTTTTATCTCACGAGTTAATGCGAGGTAAATCCTACGCCGCATTTCCCTTTCCTGGACCAAAGCAAATCCCGAACCGGGGCAGTTCGGGATTTGGATCGTTGGCTATGGATGATTAAGCCACGGCGCGACACCCCCAGCTTTTAGCAGTAACTATATCAGACCACATCTCCGGGAACCCGATTGACCAGCACCAGAGGGAGAAAAGTTTCCGTGATCGTACGGCCCCTGTGCCCAGTAGTTATGCGTGAAGGTAACCCTTTCGAGGCGGTGGGTGTGATATAGACCGCTTTCATAAAGCCCGCACGAGGCTACGACCAAACCCCGTTGAATGAAAGGGATTCGAAACACGAAATTGAAGTGATTTGATTGATCGGGATTTCGAGATGGTGCTGGAGAACCTCCCACACCCTGTTAATACCGGAATCGCCCCAGTTACACAATCCAAGACTTCGCGGCCCACTGTGGTTCGGAAGAAGTTTGCCAAACCGCCAGTCAAAGTAGCTTGTCTGACATGGTAAGCCGTCATGATCCTTCACGTTTACTGATCCGTGTGGCCCTTGTCGGTAATTTCTTCGACTACTTGGGTTTCTCTACCCCTTCTCTCTCTGTCGCTGGTTGTTGCATTTGAAGCTGACTCTGATGCGACAGTCGTGCATCGAGGACGCGCTGCGATGGTCAAGAACCATGCTCCAACGTATGTTTACTTACTCCATACTGACTCTCCTATGTTTGTCTCTATATATACTGAGACAGGGTCTTTCAATCGGAAKTGTCTTAGCAAGAAGAAGAAATGCTCGTACCTGCCTAGTAGAAGAGGCGGTCCAAGGAAGAAGAAGAGCTCGTCTCCTTCGGATTCGAGAACCCGACAGGATGATTTAGAAAACTCTACCCTCACGCCAGCCTCTGGCTTTGAGGACTGTACGTGAGACGACGCTTCTCTTTAATTGCAGCACTAACCTTCAAGCAGCCTCGGCGATGTTTGGGCAAATTGATGTACTCTCCTTGCCAGGGGCTGGGCTGAGGGCGTTAGATTTCACATCGGATGTGAATACCATGTTTGCTGATCTCTTCAATTCGAACAATGGCACCAACACCCAGGGTCAGATGGGGCCGACACCTTCGCCTTCAAACTTACCATCGCAGCCTCTGGTCAGGACGTATGGCAGCGAACACGATATGTAAGGCTTCACTTTAACCGGTGGCAGCCAGAAGGCTTGGTGAATGCTGATTCGAACATAGATTGAATGCATACTACGACTTCATTCACCATTATTTTCCCATACTTCCACCACGAGTCGCTCCGCGCTGTCCAGATAGGCCAATCAATTCCGCTGGTCACTATTCGTCGTCTCCTTCTGAAGAGCCTTTACTAGCATACAAACCACACTCTCCCCTCAGTCTTGCAATCTCCGCTATATTGGCCCTGGTGCCGCATCCCGACGATCCTGAGCCGTTGTCTCCGGTTGCTGTGCTACGACGTAGAACTTATGCTCATACCTTTGCGCAACTAGCTAATGCTGGCGTTGAGGAAGATTGCGAATTACAAGCGTCTTCGACAGATCCGTCCCAAGCATTATCGAACAATCGACCCAGGATCAACCGGGAGCCCTTTCATCCACGGACACCTGTGGAACTTGAAAGCCTTCTTGCGTTGCTGGTCCTCTGCGTGTATGAATATACACAGCGAGGAAATCTGCTCAAAATGAGGTATCGGGCCGGCCAAGCCTTGGCGATCGCGCTGGACATGTCTCTTCAGTCACTCGGGGAGGAGCACGATGAGTGCGCAGAAGCTCGGCGGAGGGCCTGGTGGATGACGGTACGGTCGTTGATTAGGGTTCATCCCGGCGCGTCCACTAATTATCTGCTGTCTAGTACTATTGCGTGCTTCAGGGTTCGATTGTCAGCACAACGGTAAGCCAATGTCGATTTGAAACCGGTCCGCGAGACTCTTGCGTTTGAAAAGTAGCTAATCTTGGGATCTACAGCCGCTCTCCATAATCGCCAGCGACCCTCAATTCGTTACACCTTATCCTCGTTTCTCTGCAGATCCAGAGGCAAGTCTTCCACTTCTTCAACTCCGCCTTCAGCGCTTCCAGGATGATCTTCAAGCATACCACTCCACAAGCAAATAGCACCATTCTGACCGGTTTTTCAGGGATGGGCTGTTTTGATGCAAGCCCAGCAAGTGCTGGCCTCCGCAACTCAATTTGTCATCGACTTGAAGAAATGCGTGTCGACCGGCGCCAACATGACTTACATATATGAAAGAATGCAGCAACTCGACGCCTGGGCTAGCTCTGCAATAGCACAATCAAATCTCCTTCCAATGGTCCCTCAATCTATGGGCTGTGGTGACGAAGTGGAGTATACAACCGCCCATAGCATACGCGCTATCGCGCGAATCAAGCTCTCTAGGTAAGCAGCCTTTGGTGAAGCTCGAAAATCTATTCACAAAGGTACTGATGCGGAGCTAGTGCACAAATCAAGGTACACCGATTCAGGGCGTTCTCGGATATTCCGCTCTTCATCAAGAAGCATTGCGACCTAACCGCAGCTAATCCCAACAACATGATTACCGGCGATTTGGCGTCCAAGGCGTCCAAAGAACAGGACAGTATGGCGAACATCTCGTGTTGCTGCAGCAATTTGGACTCCTTCCGGCCGCCGCCGTCTACATCGAGCGATTGCACAGCTTCCGGCTCTTCCTCCGGCTCTGCCACCTCCGATTATCACTCCATGGTACCACTCTCATTTACCAGCGGCTTCCCATACAGCAGCCAGCACTCCGCCAAAGTCTGCTTGAAAGCGTCTCTTACGATCTCACGCATGTTCCCGAGCCTACCCCTGCCACAGCCACTCTACGCGTCGAGTGGCAGTAACACACCCAGCCAGGGTCTGCCCTCATCCCCACAGAAGCAGTTACCGCGAACAATGCCATCGTTCGCTTGCTGTCTGATGCAAGGAAGCTACGCCTTGTTGATGATATTCTACAAAGCGACAGTGGAGAAACAAATGTCGCCAGATTATGGGAACGAATCCACAAACAGTGCCTCCGATCGACTGATCGAGGAGATCCGTCAAGGCTTGGAGCGTGTCATTGAAACTGTTAAAAATTATGCGATTGCTTTTGAGGCGTTGGATGGCATGAGAGGTAGGCAGCCGCGTCAACGATGTCCTGAACACGGAATCTAACTGACCCTCCTTTCACAGACGAAATCGAAGGTGCATATCACACGGCGTTTCCTCCGGTATAATTTCTTCTCAGTAGCTGCTATTATATCTCTCAGCAGCTTCAATTTTTTTTTTTCCCCCTTTTCTTTCACCTTTGTCTCAGAGCACGATACAATATTCCTTAAGAATTCCTTAAGAACCAGTGCAGCCCTGGTGGTCTGAGAACTGGACATTGTTATCTTCCCTCCCTTCAACTCATTTGGGGTCAAAGTATACGTGCTGGCCTCGTTCCTCCCTACCACTCGCAATGATACACGGTCACCTCCCAACATCTCTCGTCTTCTAATTAGTGGTATTCTTCCAATCCGCCCACTTGGTATATACACAGTTGTTTTCACTCAAGATGACCATGTCTAGGTATCTATGTGAAGAACTGGATTAGACTGCAACACAAAAATCAATCATCTCTAATTCTAGACGCAAAACACACTCAAAAAGCAATAGTAGGACAAAAAGCCAATCCATATACGGGCGGAGAACCACCAGCAGGCGCCCGCTTAGAGCTTCGACTTGATTCCCTCGAGTCTGAATTTGACATCCTTTAGAACTTTGCTCGAGGGCTTCCAATCATCGTATTGCCTTAATAATTGCATTGTCTCTTCATAAAGCTCGCGGCGAACATACTCTTCTTCAAGTAAACCCCGCATCGCAAACGGTAGAATATAGGGGTTCGCAGGAGATGCGTGACTCCTTTTGACGTCTAAGGTGGCGTTACTGACATTGGACGTTTCCAGAGCGAATTCAATCGCCAGCCTAAGGGATGAACGTTAGCCCTACGACGGTCAGTTACCAAGGACAAGCAAGCCTACCGATAAACAGCCTCGTCGTCATAGAGACGAGAATGACCTTCTCCTGTATAGAGGCTCCCTGCCAGCGGAGAGCTCAATTCTCGGATGAGGCCGTGGTCCGAGATCCCCAGGTTACGAAGTTTGAGCACGAAACCAACCAAATGGGAAAGACTATCAGAAGAAAAGGACGTTAGCAAGGTGGGAAAAATCAAGCTGCGAAATCAATTAACGTACAAGCTTGGTGCATGGACTCTACCATCCACGAAGACCGCGCGGTAGATGTAGGGATG